CTCATTAAGTAGCCAGATTGATCATTTTTATGAAAATAGAAATCAGATCATGGTACCCCTTAACTCAGATCCGTCAGTGTCTCTCCACATCACTCTAACAGCCAAAGTCCTTACAATGGCCTGTGAGGCCCGGCAGGATCTCTCACCACCCCCATTGTGGCCTCTCTGGCCTCATCCCCTACTGTCTTCCTCTCTCACTCACTCCATTTCAGCACACCAGCCTCCTGGCTGACGCTAGCACATGCTAGCCCCTGGTTGCAGGGCTTTTGCACGTGTGGATCCTCCGACCTGGAATAGTACGACCCTTCATCTCCTTTGAATCTTGGCTCAAATGCCATCTTCTCAGTGGATTCTTCCTTGACCACTGTACTTAAACACTCTGCACCCTGAGACCCTTCTCTGCTTCATTTTTTCTCCATAGCACCAATCATCACCCAACATCTTGTATCTTTGACTTTGTTTTTTGTCTAATCTCCACAAGGTAGGAGTTTCTGTTTGTTTCGTTGACTTCTGTGGTCCCAGGTCCTAGAGCAGTGCCTGGCACATAGTAGCACTGAATAAATACTTGATGTGTTAGATTACTCCGGCTGCCATACAAAATGCCACAGACTGACTGGCTTAAGCCAGTTTAAACAACAGAAATTCATTGTTTCACAGTTCTGGAGCCTGGAAGTCTGAAAGCAAGGTGTTGGCAGGGTTGGTTTCTTCTGAGACCGCTCTCCTTGGCTTGTAGATGGCCATCTTCTCCCTGTGTCCTCACACACTCTTTCCTCTGCATTTGTCTGCATCCTAATCTCCTCTTCTCATAAGGACACCAGTCACATTGAATTAGGTCCACTCTAATGACCTCAATTAACCTTAATTGTCTCTATAAAGACCTTATCTCCAAATACAATCATATTCTGGAGGTTAGGTCTTCGACATGAATTTTGAGAGGACACAATTCAGCCTGTAACACCTAATCAACTGGTTAATCAACGTGCAGAGATGAATTGAGGCTCATATGGGGTAAGGAGCAGTGTTTAGGCTAGGGATGGGGTGAGGCTCAGTGAGGACATAAGGGGATGGGGGCAGTACAGCTCATAGAAGTGTTCAATTCTGGGATGGATGAGGGTAGAGAATGAGGTGCCAAGAGAGAATGAGGCTGGAAAAGGGAACTTGTCTCAGCCAAAAGTTGAGACACAGGGATGAGGTTAGGGAGAGGCCATGTGGAGGAAGATGATGGAATCGGTGCAGTGGAAGGGTGAGAAAGGAGGGACTGGCCAAGGCCTACAGAGGGGAGGAGGGGAGGAGTCAGAAGAGTGGTAGGGTGGTTGAGACCCTGGGATAGGATTGAGGTTGTTTGGAATGTTACCAAGGGGCAGGATTGCCTATAAGCTTTGTGGGGCCCAGTGGTAAATGAAATGCAGGTTTCTTGCTCAAAAAGTACTAAGAACTTAAAGATGGCGACAGCAGAGTCTTAAACCAAGCATAGGTAATCCTTCTAAGTGCCAGGCCCTGTCTGACTCTATAGGTCCAACTCCTATGAAGGTGGTCCTGCCAGGTGGGATCTGGATGAGAAATGAAGACAGGTTAGAAGTTTGGACAAGTTTGGGTAGAAGGTCTGTCCTCTTGCACTGTATTGGGAATTTTTATTGAAATATGATCTGTCTTTTGCCATCTTTTTTGTTTTTATTATGAGCAACTATACCATACACTCTTTTGGAGCTGAGACCTCCCACAATTGTTAGTGCCCTACACATGTGATTTTGATGTGTGCCAAGGTGTGTTTGTTGAGATCACCAATGCAGCAGGTCAGAGAACGGTGCACGCTGGATGTAACAGAGATGGGGGAGAAGGAATATCTCTCCAGGATTCAGTTAATGAGGATCTGAACTGTGCCAGTAGTCTGGGGGAAGCTAAAATAATTGTGATTTGGTTGGAAAAATAAAGTCCATTGAGTGCACCAAACTGCCTGGTGCCTGGCCAAGGCAGAGTAGCCAGTGGCCAAGGCCTTTCCATCCTGGTGCAGAGGAGGAGTGTTCAGAGCAAGATTTGAAATCAGGTGGTGGGGAGGGAAGGAAGATTGTAGCTCTCCCCAGCCAGACCCTGAGATTGCCTTGAGTCTTCCTGAGGAGAGCTAGAAAGCCCTCTGAAGAGGATCCGGAGGAAGCCAAGACTCAGGGCCCCCATGGGAGGAAGCAGGGGCCGGAGCTGCTGGTGGTGTTGGCAACAACATCTCGGTGGTAAGTGGAAGGCTGACTCCCGCTGCAGCTCCTCACTGCAGCCCAGCCTCTCCTGCCTCAGCTCTGCAAGCATCTGGTAAGCCTGCTGTGGATGAGGCTCTGTGTTGGATGCTAGGGACACATGAGGAGACGAGGTCCCTGGCCCCAAAATAGAGGAGGCAAGTGTGCAACCCAAGTGAGCAACCAAATGGACACGATGCAGCTGGAGATAGGCAAAAGCTGACATGTATTAGGCTCATACTTAAACACCAGGTACACTTGACATGATTATCCCATTTGCCCTTCACCACTGTTTGAGGCAGTATATTATTGTCATTCTCGCTTGACAGACAAGGAAACTGAGATGCAGACAGGTTAAGTCAACTTGCTGAAGATCCTGGAGCTGATCTGTGGTACTACAAAGGGCTAAAGCAGGCAGCACACTGCAGAGGAGCTGCTCTTAATCCTTCTCACCCCTGGTGTCCACAGAGGCCCCCGTGTTTATAGTCTCTGCAGACAGATCGCTGAGAATGGAACAGTCAACAGGGGTGGGGGCGGAGAATCCTGCAGGACCCAGAGTAGAGATGTCATCTGAACTATGTGAGAAGAATGAATACAAGTACACAGAGGCTGACAGTGGGAGGAAAGGCATTCTGGGCCGAGCAGGAACTAGAAGTAGCCTAGTGTTGCTGGAGCCAGAAGCTTAGGTGGGAGTGCCAGGAGGAAAGCGGAAGCCCTAGATCCTTGCCTCACACTGAAAGCTGTGTGAAGCAGCCTGTGAACATGGTGGTTATGATCAGAATGCAATCATAGTGGTGGAGTAGGAGATCCGGGAAGTAATTTCCTGAAGAGCACCAAACTGTTTCCAACCCCAGCCAAGGCCTAGGCTCTCTCCCCCTGAACTGAGGACGCCTCTAAAACATACACAGCCCTTTGGGCACCAGAGGACCCCTATTCTCCTCCCCAGATTATCTTGATTTTTTTCTGTGGAAGCCCACCTCACAGGCCAAGGGGTGCACTCTTCCTGCTTTTATGGGGGTAACCTTAGAGGGTCTGTCATGGGAAAGGAGGGCTCCTGCAGCCACAGAAGAGCAAGCAAGCCATGGGGGAGTCTGAAAACAGAAGGCAGAGATGGAAGGGAAAGCTCCATTGGGAGCAGGGGAAGGGGAGGAAGAGGGGGAGCTGGACTGGGAGAGGCTCCATCCCCGGTGAAGGAGGCCTGCCCCCCTATTTTCCGGTCCCTTCGTCCATCCGCAGTAGGCAGGACAGGCTGGGGTTTCTCTGCCTGGGATGGGGGAGAGGGTAGTTCCAAACACGCCTTTCAGGCTCATTCTGCCCAAAAACACCAAATGGGGAGGGGGGCGCCAACTCCAGGGCTGGGCTGGGCTGGGCTCCAGAGGAGCAGAAAACAAAAAGAGCCCTGAAACCCCAGCAGGAGCCTCTGCCCAGGCTCTGGCAGACCCAGACCCTGAGCTCCCTCGAAACGTCCTGCCCTCTCTTAGCGGTCCACCACGTCGTGTGGTTCTTCCTGGACTAGTGCCATTTCTTTGCTACCAGCGTCTCGTCCTGTCATGCTGAACCTCCCAAAGTGCAGCCTCTTGAGGGCCCCCACGCCAACGCTCCCCTTGCAGCCCCAGGAGATTCCTTCCTCTTCCCTTTCTGTGCCTTAAGGGTTTTCCAAGCTCATTTCCTCCTTTATTTTGCTGCAGCCCCGCGAGGGAGGCAGGATTCTCCCCATTTCCCAGATTTGACAGGAGAGAAGTCTGCCGTCCCGGGGCAGGGTGGGGGGAGTAAGTGACGGAGCCAAGATCACCCAGTCATTGGCAGAAAGCGGCCTCGACCCGGCCCTTCTTCTGCGGGCCCGCTGGAGCCCTGGCAAGGAGGGCCCAGGCTGCTGGCCTGCGCCTCACTTTTCTCGGCTAGCACTCGGGGGCGGGCCGGCCGGAATGACAGGTGAGCTGGGCTAGGGGACAGTTAGGGGGGTGGGCTGCGCGGGGACGCCTGGCGCGCTGGTCTTGGGCGCGGCTACCTGAGCCCGCTGCAGCGCCTGGGCTTCCGAGGGCCCGCGCCGGGGGGCACGACGAGGCCCACGCCTTCGGCCGAGGGTCCTTGTCGCGTCCCGGGCCCGCCGGCCAGGCCCCGCCCCCCGGCGGCACGGGCGGGGGCAGGGGCGGCGCTGGCGGAGTGGGGCGCGGGCGCGCGGTGCTCGGTGCGCGCCGCCGCCCCTCCGGCCCAGCTTGCCGGCCCGCCCTCCCTACCCCCTCGGCCCGCTCCCGTCGCCCCCACCCCTTCTCCTCTCCTGGGCCTGGCGGCCGAGTGCGCGGTGCGGCGCGACGATCGCGGCCTGGCGATCGGGGCACGGTGGTCGTGGCGCTCGAGGGTGGCGCGCAAGGCGCGGGGCGCGAGGCCAGACCTGGCGCTGCTGGGTGTGGGGGGCGGGCAGCGGCGGAGCCCCCAGAGGAGAGCAGGGGCAGGGGGGTACCGAGGTAATGGGCAGGGCCTGGGAGCCCGAATGCGAGGGGTGGGAGCTCCAGGAGCACTTTGGCCCTTGCCGGGCAGGCAACGGGGCGCCCGGGGCGGCGGGAGGGCAGCGGGGCGGAGAGGGAGGGAGGGAGGAAACGGCTGGGCTGGGCCGGGGGGCTTGGCCGACGGGGAGCAGGTGGGCGGGGACAGGGGCCCTGCTGGAAGAGGCGCAGCAGCGAGGTGGCGGGCTGCGTGCGCAAACAGGGCGTCCGCCTCCTGGGCCCCGGAGAACGGTGAGGCCGTTTGGGTTGGGCGCCCCAGCCCCGAGGGCAGGGTTCGGTGTTCAGGGCCACCGAGCTGGGCGCGGGGCACTGTTGGGGGAGGATCTGGAGGCCGGGCCGGGCCAAGGCGTTGGGGGTCTTGAGCAGACCCGGGCGAAGAGTGTTGCTGAGCCAAAAGCAGGAGTTGGTGGGCAGGGCGCTGGTGGTGGGCGACGGTGGGCGAGGACAGGCACTTTCAGGGCTGGCATGAGTGGAAGGGGACAAGGAGGGCCCAGAGTTTGAGTTAGAGCGTAATTTGGGAGTTCCGTGTCACTGGGTGGGTTGATGAGTCATGAGATCTGGAGATCACAGAAGCTTTCCTAGCGATCAGTTCTGAGTGAGGGAAATAAGGGCTAAGATTTGGAGAAGTGGTTTGGAGGCCACGTCTTGGGACACCAGGTGCTCTGATGGCCGCCAGTCCCCATGCGAGGGAGTCTGGGAGCATGTCCCAGAGTGCTGTGATTCGGAAGCTTCAGCCTGGGGTGGGGTTAAGGAAGGTCTTTGTGGTGGCCAGTCCCTGCCTTCCTTCCTTTCCAGGCCTTCAGGATTCAGCTGTGTTCCTGTGGGGAGTGGGTTAAAAATTCCTCCGGCCTACAATCAGCCTTACAGTATCCACCAGGGGCAGGAGGGACATATACATGCGTGACTGCAGCAGCATTCTCTGTCGTGGAGCCCTCACGCTTCCTCACTGTTGCCATAGTAACGGCCTATTGATGGTGTATTTATAGGGGAAGAAGCAGGCGCTAAATTTTGGGGAAGGAGGGGCAGAAGGCCTCGTGGCAGCAGCAGCAGCAGTGACGGTGGCTACAGAATTGTAAATGGAGTGGGCCATGTCTTGTGAGCTGTTTTGGGGAGTTCCTGGCTTGTTTGAAGCTTTAAAATGAGCTAATGACTTTTGCAGGTGTCAGGATAGCACACATTCCGGGCTGTGATATGTGTGGGTGTGCACACACCAAAGTCGGGTGTGTTTGGGACAAGAGGTGGCTATATGTAAGCTGTTACGTAATTTTTCCACATAAAAATTTTTAAAAAACACTGCAGTTCTCTTTGATAAGCAATGAAACATATATTTTTCTCTCTTCAGTTATTAGTAAAGCGTTTACTCATTCTTTTCAAACCCTGACACAACCGCTCCATTTTTCTTCAATCAAAAACCTTGCTGTTAGGCATGCCACACCCACACCCTTGCCACATGACTGGCATTGGCTCTAGGGGAACCTCAGAGATCCGTAATGGAAGCAGGGTTATGAGATTATATTCCATCTTTATTCTCATCAATATTGAGGGTCAACTTTTCTCACACTGGCAGGCCCATCTGTTGACAAAGTCACACGTTGATAGTATTGGATGGGATTCTTGTGGAGTTTGAAAGAGGAAAGCCCCCTCAATATGGTGTTTCCATAGATAGATTTTAGATTTTCTGTTTTTCCTTTAGTTTTAATTTTATTTGTGATTTATATTCTACCTGTTTGCCCAAAGGATTAGAAGATATATTTTAAATAGACATAAGACTCTGAAAACGTAAATAGAAAAGTGTATACCACGTCGCAGGGGACAAGCATATGTGCTTAACAGCTGGGCTTCCAGGGCGCCTGTGCTTGATGGTCAATGTTAACGCTGAACTTCCTGGCAGCCTAGGCTAAAAGGGGAGCATAATGAGCGCCACCATTCACATGTCTTGCATCCAGTCAGTCATAAATCCAGAGCTTCTGCCTGGGAGGGGAGCTGCGGAGTGATTGCTCCCAGATGTGGACAGCTTGGCCAGTGCTCTGGAATCTGTGCAGGAGTGAGAGTGGGTGTTGGGGATGGCAGTGTGCTGTGGCTGTGGTTTACATACTGGCTGGATAATTCCTGAGCAGGAGGCTTTCAGATGGTAACTCACATTTGAGGCAACGCTTGCGTCTAGTTAGTATCTCAGTTTTCATCCTGTCAATCAATGTCTTGGTACTCGGCTGCAGTTTTCTTCAATGCAAAGAGAGGAGAGATGACTGGTTTCGGGAGATCCTTGCCACCCTGTCTGGTGAAGACGAACACAGCAGGTCATCTGGGTTTGGGCCATGACTTTGGAGATGGTTGTTGGTGCCGTCTTAACTGCCTGTTTTCAAGGAACGTGCTTGTCATTAGAGGTATCTGGGATTTGCCTCATGAGCAAAATTAGTTCCAAAACCGGGTCCTGTCTCTGTCACTGCTGGTTTGCTTGACCTCATCTAAGTCCTTGTCTCTCTGAAGTCCTTTCTGACTCAAAAGTGCAAAGATTTGTTGAGGGAAGCAAGGAAGGAGGAGCCTCGGTCTTTAGGAGTTTTTCTTTTTTAAAGAAAAAAGTCAACCCTTAGGTCTTCTAGACTCTCAGAATGTGTTCTTGGAGGAAATAGCTGGAAGATGTGCTCTGGGCTCTGCTGGGCCTCGGGGGCTCTGGAGGAGAGCTCGGGGAAGGACAGGAAGCAGTACTGTGAGAGGCTGCACAGAGGGGCCTCTGCCTCCTAAGGGGCCGCTTTGAACTTTGACCAGGCCAGTGGGCATGGGAGTCACATCCCAGGGCCAAGAGGGTGCGCTGTGGGTTTGGGGGTGTGATTTTACCGTGACTCTGCTTTTCTTCTTTGCCAGGCAAGTGAGACGCTGGATCTGAGGGAGCACCATGGCAGGTGAGTTTTTCCGGGCCCAGGCCGAGTGGTGGAAGGCCGTGCCTAGGGGCTCATGGGAAAGGTGCGTGTGCACCTTTCAGGTCCTTCCCTGGGGTGTCCTGGTGGCCCTTGTCTGCTCGTCTGGGTTGCAGCTTTCCCCTCTCAACTCTTTGACTCCCTTCTGGAACATGTGCTCACTTGTAGATGTGCACCTACCCAGGTCGCTGTGGAGAAACTAATCTGACAGGCCGTGGGGCCTGGGGAAGGGTGCTTGCCTGCCTGCCTGCCTGCCTGCTGGCAAAGCCCTACCTGCCTGGGCACCAAGAGGGGCTGGCTGACGTGAGAATTAGGAAGTCCTGCCTCCAGGGGAATACCAGGAGCAGGTGTTACCTCTTCTCTCATCGTCTAAAGTCTCAGCTCACGTTTATGGGGGTGCATAGCTCATGCCATGCTAGTCAGCCTAACCGTAGCTGGGTTTCTTCCTTTGCAATAGGTGGATGTAGCTGCCACTCAAAGACGTTTTTGCAGGAGGCATCTGCACCCAGTCTACAAAGGCTTAGATCCTCCACCTAGACCCTGCTACCCGCCCTCCCAGAGGCACTCTCAGGTTCATGTGCATCCAGTCCCTTGATCTACCCCAGCCTGCATTTGTACTAGACTATCTCAGGCAAGGCTATTGATGCTAGGCAAGCTGATGGCACAGGTGGCCATTCAGCTGGAGGGACCCCACCCTGGTAGAGTCTTGTGGGGCTATTTGGTATTTTTCACCAGCATCAGCTTCAAAGGGGTATGAATTCTCATGATAAGGGCTCTGATTTTCACTCTTTGAGGTGAGGTGGAAGATACTGGGAACTTTTTCACTGATGACTACAATGCCCCAAATCCTTCGTGCCCCTTGGTCCTATGCAGCATACACTTCCCTCTCAGTCGGATCCCACATTCCTCCATAGCACCAGAGGCCTGAGTCTTGTTGGGTCCATGGGATTCTAGGAGATGCATCATGGTGTCACAGAAAGTCAGCCCTTCTATCTCTTTTACAAAGGGCCAGCCATGTCTGGGATGGTGTCTTGCCTGCTGGCTGTGTCTTACTTCCTTCCATCATTGTGCTTCTGTGCCTGGGCTGAGTCTGGTCTGAAGGAGCCCCTGGGCCTCTCCCCATTCCAGGCCTCAGTGCAGCTCTCTCCTCAGTGTTTCTGGAGGCCAAGAACGCCCATTCGGTCCTGAAGCGGTTCCCTCGTGCCAATGAGTTCCTGGAGGAGCTGCGCCAGGGTACCATCGAGCGGGAGTGCATGGAGGAGATCTGCAGCTACGAGGAGGTCAAGGAGGTGTTTGAGGACAAAGAGAAAACGGCATGTACTGCTCTGGGGCTGGGGCTGGGAGCAGAGTTAGTCTCAGGGATAACCAGAGCAGGCCTTGGCATCTCAGACGAATCAGAAGCAATGAAGGAAAAAGCCAGCCCCATCCAAGGCAGGGCCAGTGGGGCCATACAAGAACAGAGTCCCATCTGCCTGCCTCTGGGGGCCTCCTCACTTGGGAGCCATGCCCATTGTCCTTGGTGCATTCCATAGCCTCTCTAATAGCTCTCTAATAGACCGGTCAGCTGGAGCAGGGTGGGGAGCAGCTGCAGGTCCCGCTGAACATAATACCTGACTTGCTGAAGGGCTCTGAGGTCCACCTGGGGCATGACTCTTGTGTGTAAGTATAAGTGGCTTTTCTTATTCTTTTGTAGATGGAGTTCTGGAAGGGGTACCCAAATGCAGTCTACTCAGTCCGAGACCCCGCACAAAGCTCGGATGCCATGTACGTGGTGGTGCCCCTTCTAGGGGTGGCGTTGCTGATTGTCATCGCCTTGTTCATCATCTGGAGGTGCCAGCTGCAGAAAGCCACTCGTCATCACCCCTCGTATGCTCAAAACCGGTACCTAGCCAGTCGCGCTGGGCACAGTCTGCCCCGGGTCATGGTGTACCGGGGCACTGTGCATAGCCAAGGGGAGTCCTCTGGGCACCGGGAGGCAGGGAGCAACCCGCAGGTGGCACTAGGGCCCAGTCGGGGGGGCAGAACTACAGTCCGCCTCGAGAGCACCCTCTACCTCCCTGAGCTCGCCCTCTCCAGACTGTCCAGTGCCACCCCTCCCCCATCCTATGAGGAGGTGACTGCACCCCAGGAGAGCAGCAGTGAGGAGGCGAGTGTCTCTTACAGCGACCCACCCCCGAAGTATGAGGAGATAGTGGCCGCCAACCCTGGCTCAGACAAGTAGTGGGACTTGTGTCCTGTCCAATGTGAAAGCCTCTTTTAGGGGTCTCCTATTTTCTTTTTAACTTTTTAAAGACTGTGCCACCACAAAACAGCCTTAGCCTCCTTGTTGCCAAATAATTTCCTAACCGTGGATTTGTAGGAAGTCAGTTGTCAGAGATAGGTGGAGGGGGTAGGAAACACGCATGCGTCAAAGCCCCTGGGGAGAGCCACAGGCCAGAGAGCCCAGCTCCTCCAGAAGCCCCTGCACCCTTGCCATCCTGTCCTTCTGTCAGGGACTGGCTTCTCTGATGCCAAAGGAATCACCCTATTGAGTTGATTGTGGCCAGAATGTCCATAGGCTTGGGCCCCGGGGCTACGCAGCTGGCTGGAGACCTGCCTGTGTCTGGAATCCTGGGCCAGAGGTGAGCGAGAGAAGCCAGCCCTTCAGTACCCTATTTCCTTGACAGTCCGTGCTTTCTGTCCTTGCTTACATTTTGAGGACAAAGACAAGAACTGAAAAAATGAAAAGTAATAACAAATAAATAATGAACACAATAAAACACAACAATATAACCTGGGCCATTCATAAGAGGCTGAGGGAAATCAGCCGCACAGATCTGTGACACCCCTCTCTCCCAACCCCACCCCCACTTTCCTGACCAGGTTAAAAGGAATGTCTGGAGAAGCCTGGAAGGAGGACAGGGTGTGTGAAAGATGGGAGGCAGGGGCCTGGCTGGCAGAGCTACCTCCCCCAGATTGAGCAGGGGGCCCATGTGAACTTTGCCATCCTGGACAGTAGCTCTGGGTCTAGTGTGCTTGGCCTCCCCCAGACCTTGGCTCTCCAGACACGTGTACTGGCTGTGCTAAAACCGCTACCCACTGGCATGAACCCAATCATAGCCCTGGGAAAACCGACGCTCTTGACCCTGCCTGTGGAACCTGTGGCCTCTGAATGGTTGGGGTACAGGCTGGGGCAGAGAGCTGGAGTTTTCTCTTTGTGACATCGACTGGCCCACAGGACGATTAAACCCACAAACTTGGCCTCCTCAGCACCGTGCTCTCTGGCTTTGAACTTTTAGGATACGTCTCTTTTTACGAGTAGGTGCACTGAGTTTCAGATGGCTGATTGCTCTTTAGTGATGGTGCCCTACCTGGAGAGAAGATCCTGAAGTGTCCCTTTTTAGAAATTTCCTTGCGGGGGAGATAGGGAAGTCCGTGACCTGGGTCAAAGCCCATCTGGTCTTTGCTCTGTCGTTGCCAGGTGCTGGGCCATTTTTAGTAACCCCTTTCTGTGTCCACCTCCCCATTTCAGCAAGGCTTCGGACAGCAGTGGGGCAGAGGTGACCTGCCCCGTGACTGTCAAGGACCAAGCAAAAGACGCTGTGGACACCACCTCCCCCCACCCCTTCATCTCCATCCTCCTGGCCTCAGCGCCAAACCATTTTTCCTCTGTGGTGCTTTAAAAAATGTAGCAAATTTTTGTGGGGCCCAAAAGAGTGCACAGCCAGGGTCTATTAGCAACCACAGCAGGTTAAAACCCAGTGAGAAGACAAGCTTCTTTCTGTCTAAACAGCTCTCCAGGGCGGGCCTCGGGCCTCCTTCTTCGAACGCAGCCCTGCCTTCAGGCCACAGATGACTTCTGGAGGCCCCTCCAGTCCTGTGCACAGGCTTCAAGTCAGGAGGCTTGTGTTCTTATCCCAGTGAGGCCACCAGCTTGGACAACTCAACCCTGTGGCTAGGGTTTTCCATCCTTCCCCCTACCTCACAGGCCCGTTGGAGGCTGACTGAGCTAATGCCTGTGCAGTGCTTCAAGCACCAGGGAGCCAGTGCAGTTTGCCCTTAGGAAGATTCTTCTAGAAATGTGTAAGTTATAGGGGAACAGTCTTAGTGGAGGCCTTCATATGACTCTGATGTTGAGTCTCAACCTGGGGAGTCAATCTCCTGCCAGTTGACACTTTCTGTCTCCTTACCCCTCCCCCAAGAGCTCCCTGATGCCAGAGGTGCTGACCAGGTGGCATTCCACCTTTCCTTCCTTTCTCTTTTCCTCCCTCTGGGCCTCTAGCACTGCACTCCTGCCCTTCCTCGCAAAGACATTTTCAGCCCAAAAGGCCCCTGCTTTTTCCATGATGGAGGCTGGAGTCAATCCTATTTGGCCATGTTGGAGGACCTGGGCCAGCCTGCAGCTCTAGGACCAGCCCCTGCTCTCCCAACATTTCCTCAGGCAGGTGCCTGCGTGTGACTTGGGAGCATGGGGGAAGACACTTACCCCTATGTGTCTCCTTCCCACTGATTGGATAGCATGGGCCCCACTGACCAGAGCCAAAGGGAGTATGCCAAGGAATGTCTGCTGCCTTTGGCACCTGTTGAACCCTTCCCTGCCAAGCTGCTGGGTAGTTTGCGGCTGGGTGGAGATGGGAGAGAGCGAGAAGCAGGAGCCTGGCCCGGTGGAGGGCAGCACATGTCCTTCAGGTGCTGCACTCTCCGGTTCAGATGCTTCCAGGTGGGGTTGCCGTTGTGGTCTCTGGGATGTTTTTTGCAGTATATTGTAGAAAAAAGACTGTATAGTACACAGTGGTCGTAACTCCTCGCGGTGCAATTTGGCTTTCACAAATGCCCTGTACATATCTTTTCAAATTCTGTCTTTTATGGACATTCATTTGATACAATGCTAACTCTGCAGTAGCCACAGTTTTGTTGTTGGACTTGTGTGTATGTGTGTGCGTGTGTATGTATGTACATGTGTGCACGTTGCCTTTTCTCACATGCTTATCTGAAACAATAGCTCGTGTGTGGCTATATTTGTACCAGGAGAGTTCCCGTCTGAAGGGAGGGATGTCACCTCCTGGGGCTGGGGAGCCTGATGACAGGGCCCTGAGCAAGGAAAGCCTAGATTAGCTGTCAAAGTCCCCCAAAGTCACCACCTTCTGCCCCCATTCACGAAAGGCTTTGGAAGAAGATGAAGCCGCTCCATCCGGTGGGCTCCTCCCTGTGGGACCCTCCACTCACATGCCCTGTGGGTGTGGTGTCCCCAGCCTCCGCTCCTGTTCTGTGGGTGTCAGCAGCTGATGGAAATCTGAGCACTCCTGGGCCCTTTTATTTATTTATATATTTTTTTGGTGGAAAGATGTCTGACTATTGACTTTGGGAATGGCGGGGCTGGTTATTTAGATATTTTTCATTAAAAAAAAAAAGAAAAGGCTTTAAAAAGTTCCTTGAAATATGACTGTCACTTGTTTTCAAAAAAAACTTTTGAAGACTTTTTAAAACAAGAATCACAATCCTGTCCCTCCCCTGCCGCTCCCCATCGCTTGGGGTTTTCTAAACGAAAGCACAAGAGAAAGAGTGGAGCGCACACGTGCCCGGCGTGTGCAGCAGCAGCACAGCTGCGTGGCGCCCTGGCCAATGGAAACACAACACTGAGCAGTCTGACCTGGAGGCCAGGGGCCTCCTCTTCTACCTGCGAATCCCACTGCCATTAGTGTGAATTCCTTAGGGTGCTTTGGAAAACAGGAATCTGCCCAATATGTTGGATGTTGTCTTTTTGGTAGCCCGAATATGAGGAATTCAGGACAGGAAAGTGTCTTTTTGTTAAGGAGTTGGAGCCAGATGGTTCCTCTCTGGCTGAGGGTTGATCTTTTGACAACCAAATGGCATCCCACAAGAAGGATTAAAAAATCAACACTGCCTTTAGATTGTTCTTTTGTCCGAGAGAGAGAGATCATCAGGAGAGACTCTCTTACTCACCTCCGCTCTGTCTTTCTAGGAGTATGCGTGTGTGCTGTGTCTCATGTATGTGCCCTCACGTTCAAGGCTGAGATGGAGAGCTGGGCAGCAAAGCTGCTGGTCTCGGCTGCTTTTCAGCTTGATGAATAATGAAGCTCCATTTCAGGATTGCGTCAATTCAGAAACAAGCACATCCTCCCCACTGAACTCTACTCATGCTAATCAGTATAATTAGCTAATTTAAAAGTACTGTAATCAGACTGCCTGCAACTATGATAAAAGCCCATTAATTTGAAGCCCACTAATTCAGAACTTAGAGAAAATCACGACTTAAGATAATTCATGGTATCTGTGATTCTTGCTCCATAGAAATGTTGGAAATATTCTTCCCTTTAGTCAATTTGCAGGGTCATGTGTGTAAGAGGGATCTAGTTTAAAGTGAGTACCTTTTTCAAATATGAGGCTCAAGATATTTAGGATCCCTTCCCTGTGCCTTCGGCTTTGGGTTCAGCAGCTCTCACATGTGAGGCTCTTTCTGTACAGGTTGCTCTCTTGTTCTCTCTCCATTGTGGGGATGTTGAGTATTGCAGCTTTTCATTCTACTCTTTTGTTTACCCTGTGAATAACATAGTTTGTGAACTAGACTGCAATTTAAAGTAATATAACTGTGTATCTTGCTAAATATTCTGTAAAGCAGATGTTTCACTAACAGACCGGCCACTCCCATCATTCGCCCCAGCTTTTCCTTTGGCAGGCTGTGGGCGGTGAGTCTCTCTCTAGCAAGAATTTTTCTGACAAAGAGATCCAAACAGCACACCCCTCGGGCTCAACGCCTCAACAGTTGTTCCACTGTCCCGAGATATCTGACTGGTGAACAGCGCCTGCCCTTCTCCCGCCCCCAGCCTGAGCATTAACACAGAAATTCAAGATTGGGACAAATCCTACAGCTGCTTTTGCCTCCCAATCTGTCTCCCCTTATGGATGCCACTTTCCCAGGCCTGAACACACCTGCTATTTCACTCTGTGATCGTGAATTTGTGACAGTGGAAGCCCTGATATGTGCAGCTGAGCTTATAGACATGATTACTGTGAAATGGATTAATTTTGGTACCACTTTAAACTGTGCTTGTATTCATGTGTTGACCCACGTCAGCTGGGAAATCTGTACATTCAGTGATATGTCAGGATTTCACTGGAGCCTGGGGGCAACAAACAAACTTGCTTCTGGTTTCTCTCTCTCTCTGTAATTGTTGATTTAGCTGTTAAATTTTGTCTCTTTCTGTACAAGAAGATAATGAATAATAATAAAGAGCAAATGACATTTACTTGCGGCCCATCCTCTTCCATCTTGGATCCCTGCTGGCTCCCAAACCTCCATGGGGCATGGATGGGTATGGGCTAAACTTGTTTTTCCAAAAGTCAGACTGTAGATGAGGAAACAGCCCAAACCAGTTTAGAAGCAGGAAGCAGAGATGTCCTGGGTCTTAAAGTTTGTTCCCATGTGTGTAAGATAATCTCCTGACTCATCCCCCTGGGACGAGATTAGTGAGATCTGTCACAAATCACACTGACAACTTCCCTGTCACCTGATCTCTGGTTACCAACAGAGGTGTCGCTTGCCAGAAGGATGCCCTGCTTGGTTTCAGAGCCGGGGGAGGGGTAGGAGGGGGAATTTTTCCTGTGCCCTGTGTAGGTGGGACATAATACTCGGGCTTTGTCCTGGCTCAGGTTCCTGAATTCTGAGGATGGCAAGAGCCAGAGACTGTTCAGAGGGCAATGATGCCCTAGCCTCTCCTTGGAGGAAGTGTGGTCTTAGCCCCAAACACTTGCAGCTGTTGGTGTGGAGTGGGATATGGCCATGGGAAGTCACTGGCGCAAGTTGCACCAATCCCCAGTAATGAGAATAATCCACTGTTTAATAGGAAAAGCCACGGCAGTGATGAGACAATGGCAAAGAAATTTCGGGTCTCCTTTGAGGATTGAATGTGGAGGCTAAGTGCCAGGAATGGCAGTCAGAGGCCTTGGGCTCCATTCTTATCCCGGGCTGGCTTGTTGAGTGATGCCAACATTCTAGGGATGTTGGGAAGTCAAATAAAGCTCTTCAAGCCAACTCCAGCACACAGATGGGGTCATGTTCTGAACATGGATTTTGAACTTTAGGTTCTTTTTGCTGGAAAAAAGTGCTCTAGGTAGTGACTCAGGCTCCCATGGTAGCCCATGCAAGGAAGCTAATACGTGAGGGAGGCCCCAGGCTTCCAAAGTCTCCCTTGGGGTACTACCCAAGAGACTGGGCCTCCCTTTCTTATCTGCCGGTTGTACCATAAGACCACAGGTACCAGAGCCAAAGCACTTGGATTACTTGAGGATGAGGGACGTAAAAGGGTGATGGTGAGAAGAGAGAGTCCGACCCCGGTTTCTCCCCAGTCCCTGCTGGAACAGAATCAGGTGAGGGGCAGAGGTGCTTCAGGACCCCTCTTCTCACCCTTTCCCCAGCCCCCCATCCTGCACATCGTGCACCACTGCCACGCCCATACAGCAACTGGCCTAAGACTGCATGGAGTGAAGGGACAGAAGGACAGTGGGGAGGATCCATAAGTTGTGCTTGGAAATGTTCATAGCCAGAATTTACTGAACACTTGTTAGTGTCTGCCAGGCCCTGCACATGCGTTAACTGAGACAATCTTCCCAACAAACCTGTGATGGCCGAGGAAGCAAGGCCGAGGGCTCACGGGGAGGGAGTGATGGCCTCATCATATGAACACAGGTCTACCCTGACTGCCCCACCCCAGGCACTAATATGGCACTGCTAGTCTCCTTTGGAGGTCACTTTGCTTTTGTTTTTCTGTCTACTGTCCATCCTTCCAGCATCCCCGTACGTCCTGCCCAACTGTTAATTCCACAAGGGCGTGGACCGTGTATAGCATTTCTCTCACCACTTCTTCCCTAGAACTTGGCACAATGTTTGCCTCACAGTCAGTGTTTAATTAAATAAAATGTGTTGACTAATTATACTGTCCAATCAGAATCCAAGATCCGTGTATTAGTTTACTTGGGCTGCTCTAACAAAGTCCCACAGACTGGATGGCTTAAATGACAGAAATGTATCGTCTCCCAGTTCCAGAGGATGGACGTCTGAGATTAAGGTGTCAGCAGGGTTCGTTCCTTCTGAGGCCTCTCTCCTAGGCTTGTAGATGGCCGTCTTCTCCCTGAGTCTTTTTTTGAAATTTTTTTTTTTTTTGAGGAAGATTAGCCCTGAGCTAACTACTGCCAATCCTCCTCTTTTTGCTGAGGAAGACTGACCCTGAGCTAACATCCACACCCATCTTCCTCTATTTTATATATGGGATGCCTACCACAACATGGCTTTTTGCCAACTGGTGCCGTGTCCGCACGCAGGATCTGAAACGGCGAACCCCGGGCCGCCGAGAAGTGGAACGTGCGAACTTAATCACTGCGCCACCGGGCCAGCCCCTCCCTGAGTCTTTACATGATCTTCCCTCTGTGTTTCTGTGTGTCCCAATCTCATCTTTGTATAAGGACACCAGTTGTGTTAGATTAGGGCCCACTCTACTAACCTCATTTAACCTTAATTACCTCTTTAAAGACCCTAGGTCCCAAAACAATCATATTCTGAGGGACTGGAGGTCAGGACTTCAACACATGGATTTTGAGGGGGACACAATTCAGCCATAACACTCCATTCATGGCAGGGGGAGTCCTCGTTGCTCCTTACCCCAACTGTGAGCACATCCTACACACTTCAGAAAAGCTTCGGGACGCTGACTTCTCTGAGATGCTGGAAAAGACAGGGGCACCTGTCAGTCCCAAACCAGGCCCTGGAGTAGTTCTTCCCTGCAACAAATGCATGGACCTGGGACAGCTGCCAAAGGTCCTCACGAGGCAGGTGGGTTGGGAGATGAGAAGTGGGCTTTGGAAGGTTTTCCCAGGGTCCCTCTGTGGAGAGCGATGTGAGAACCCAAAGCCTGAAGAACAGACAAGATGTTTGCACTCCCTCAGATTTTTTTAATAGACAAAACATGTTGTCTTCAGGAATCCCAAGACTGGCAGCTCCGATAACAGTGACTTTCAGCAATTTCTCCAAAGAGCTCAAACGGCATAGCAGATTCAGTTTCATCAGGCTTTATGCAATATAAAAATAGAGACTGGTCACATTTCCTACAGGCTGGTTGTGCTGAATCACACGAGCACAATGGGTGGTCTGGTTGGTCCTAGCACCCCTGAGTCCTGGGGCTGACAGGGCATATAGGGCTGGGTGCTGGCAGTGTTCTACAAGCTGGATGTGTCTGCTTCAAGCCAGGCCAGGGGGCTGCAGAAGGGAGTGCAGCAGCATGCCAAGTCTTACCTGCCTGGAGCTCTGGGCCTAGCTTGGTGGAGAAGATATTAGACAGACCATAGCAATGGAGTATGTTGAAATTTATGTTCAGATAAGTCCAGGGAGCTGAGGGTGGGGGCTGCCAGAGAAAGCCTTCCTGAGGAAATCAGGTCCAATCTAAAGCTTGAAGGATGGGTAGAAATCAGTCAGACA